TACAGTTTTAGAAGACCTTAATATTAATGAAAAGTACTTCAGATAGAGCGAGTCTGGCGTTAGGGCGGTAAGACTGTAGAAGGTTCTGTGGGTACAGAGCAATACTCGCGTTAATGGGATAGTACAGTTTTAGAAGACCTCAATATTAAATGGAAAGTACTTCAGATAGAGAGAGGCTGGCTTCAGGGCGAAAAAACTGTCAACAGGCCTGTGCGTAGAGCGGGTATCGCTGGTGGCGAAGTTATAATCGCCAAAACTTCAGATTGCAAATTTTTAGAAAATGTTTTAGATTTTGGCCCTGTGATCAGTGGGTCTGTGATCAGTGGGTCTGTGATCAGTGGCCACTGATCACAGACCGGCGAATGGTGTCGTACGACATCGTCCTTGCTGTAAAATTTGACAAAATTTTAGATTCCAAATTTTTTAGCAAATGGCCCTGTGATCAATGGGACTCAGTGGTCACTGATCACAGACCGGCGAGAGGTGTCGTATGATATCGTCGTTGCTGTAAAATTTGACAAAAGTTTAGATTCCAAACTTTTTAGCAAATGGCCCTGTGATTAGTGGGTCTGTGATCAGTTGTCACTGATCACAGACCGGCGAGGGTTTTGGACACAGAACGCACAAAAAGGTGCATGCACCTTTTAGATGGTGTTACCGTACCATCCAATAGGCACGGGGGTAGCAGGGCATAACAGTCAACCGGTTAGTGGTGGATGGTGTTATCATAACCCCCTAATTTAAACATTTTAAGAAATATTTGCACCACAACCAAACGCTTCCAGCCCCTCAAACGTTGCATGCACCTTTCCGCCCTGCGCCTTCCAGAAATCCGATCTCTCCACAAGCAGAGAGGCTCTACTGTGGGCTCACAAGAAGACTTCGTAATGACGAACAACACTGTTGGACAATTGTCGGATCTTGCTGTCATCGAAATTTGTGTGAAAGCCATGTACATCAGCACAAAAACTATAATGATTACAATATGCGTCAATTAATAACGAGATCGCATCCCAAGGACGCCGGGTTTTGGAGCACCATTGTCTGGATGATGGTAGAGGTTGTGCAACAATGAAATGATCATTACATATTAACGTGAATTATTTATTAATTACAATATTTCTAATTCGGGGATTGACGGAGTAGGGGATTAATTAATAGCAGTCCTCGCGCACGACCTTTATTCGAGTTGGTGTGCTTGTTTAATGCATTGGTTCTATTTATTTGCAGACTTATTACTGCACTCTACGGCACTCTAGACTTCGTATTGTGACATTGGGGCTTAAAGGCGTAGTCGAGACACAATAGATTGGCAAAGGATATATAAGTAAAGTTTGTTGCTCAGTTATAGTGCGGGATTTTTCGACTATAGAGCCCTGCCGGGCTCTCAAAAACATCAGGGTACATCGCCCAGGCTTGCAAGAGCAAGCAAGGTCTTTGGTATGATATGCAATGTTCTGTCGTGCAACAAGATTTTCAAAAGCTGTATGGGTGGCCAGCCATACTGCAACTAATGTAATTTTTGCTAATTTTTTGGAGGTCGATTCCAGTATGGCTGGCCACCCATACAGCTTTTGAAAATTTTGTTGTACGACAAAAATGCAATATATTACACGTGGCGAACAAAATGCAATTTACTACACGTGTGAATGACCAAAATGCAATGAAATACACGTGGCGACCAAAATGCAATGTTTTAGATGTGGCGACTTAATTAATGTACGACAGTGTAATGTTCGGCGATTGCGTCCTAAGGACGCGGAGTTTCGGAGTACCATTGTTCTAATGATGGTACGGCTCGACATTAATTAAATCAAAGTTAAATATACAGTGTTTATAATAGGCATTAATTAATGTCCGACAGTGTAATGTTCCAGGATCGCGTCGTAAGGACGCGGAGTTTCGAAGTACAATTGTTCTAATGATGGTACTGCTCGACATTAATTAAATCATAGTTAAATATGTAGTGTTTATAATATGCATTAGTTAATGTCCGACAGTGTAATGTTCCAAGATGGTGTCCTAAAGACGCGTTGTTTCGGAGTACCATTGTTGTAATGATGGTACTGCTCGACATTAACTACATCATAGTTAAATATATAGTGTTTATAATATGCATTAATTAATGTTCGACAGTGTAACGTGTTATAGATTGCATTTTGATCACCACATGTCATACAAAGCATTTCTGTTCGCACGTGTAATATATTGCGTTAGGGTGATTTTTGGTAATGTTTTGGGGGGTGATTTGGGTGTGATTCTAGTGCGGTTGTCGCGCGACAAGATTTCATTTTGCTGTATGGGTGGCCAGCCATACTACAACTTTATTAAAATTTGATAACTTTTCGGAGGGCAATTCTAGTATGGGTGGCCACCCATACTAACATTTCCTGTATTGGTAATATAGTGCTGACCTGTGGCTGTGGGACGAAAATGGCTCTATATCGAACCCGGCACTATAAGTAAATTGGAATTTCGACTTTTTAAAGCCACTTTTCTTGCATCACTGCTTTCAAGGAACTCACGCAGGGCGCTATCACTCATACTGCACATCTGCACTAAAGATTCAAGTCTTACAAAAGCCAAAACGCTTTATGCTGGGACCACAGACGCAGTGACGGACCTGGAATACTGGGATAGTCCGTTGCTGCGAAGAAAGAGGAGGTGCGGGCGCGGGGGTCGGGTGTGGGGGGAGGATTATGTTTGGGTGGTGGGGGTAGGGAGCGGGGATGGGTACCAAGGGGATACGAAGGGAGGGCGGAATGGGTGAAGATGGAGGTTTTTTCTTTTTTCGTTTCGACAGGACAGAGGGAGGTGACGTCGTGGGACGGAGGAGCAAGCTTGGGGAATGGTAGGAAGGGGTCAGGCTGCACGCCGGTGCACATCTCAACGAAGTCGTGCAGCACGTTCTTTGGACGAGTCTGCATGCTCTTCACAAAACACGCTCCCCTATACCCATGGGTTGGACGGATGGGAGGTTAGGCGTCGAAAATGGCATCGCTATTGAAGATTCCCGGGATGGAAGGCCTACTGGCTCCATAAAATATCTGCAAAAATTATATCAAAGCACGGACCAAAACACTCCCCACGCTCCGTGGCGGATGGAAGTCCCGAATCTCGGACGGAGGGCCTATTCGTCGGATGGAAGGTTTCATCGCTGGTTTCATCCCTGTCGCAGCCCTCGTTATGATCATTCTTGACATGGCACTCACATGTTGGCTACTTTGAATCCCACTCTTCCCGCCTTTCGGGTTTGAATGCCCTTTTTCCCGCCTTAAACTGTACTCACTGGCTCTCTCTCTCTTGACTGCTGCTTTCCATCTAAGACACCCATCCATTGGCCATTCCCTCTGGAGACACCCATCCATTGGCCATTCCCTCTTGGGACACCCATCCATTGGCTACAGAATTCGTACAAATATCACCTCGCACATCTACGCCTTTGCCCTGACTCTGTGACTTTCATGCAATCGTTCGTTTCATCCAGGACACCCGTCCATTGGCTGTGCCCACTTGGGACACCGGGTCGGTGTATACCTGCGGGGTTAGGGGGAATATAGGTTATAGGGGTTGGCTGCTATTGGTGGCTAGTACTAGCGTGCAGTTGGGAACGTTTCGAAGTTTATTGAACTTCTTCATTAGCTCAGAGTTAGCGACGAGGAGTGCGGTGCTCGGCGTCGCGATCGGAGAGGGGGGAGGTACTCTCCTGTAGTGCTGTGCCTATTTTCTATATGATTTTGTGGGATGGCCTTTTCGCATGGGTTTTGAAAGTTAGGGGGGAGTGGGGGCATAGTGTGTGGTAGCCACGGTAGTATGGTGTGTTCCATATTGTTGGAAATATGGGTCCGAGTGAAGTGGAATGTTCAATTGCATTAAGCATGTGATTATATGGCATTGATTTAGGCTCGTGTTCAATGGGGGATTAGGGGTTTGAGCTGACACTAACAGAGATGGCACTATATCGCGACCCCCCTTGTAACAAAGAAAGCAAATCTGCAGAAGTGAAAATAAAAACTTCATGAAAACATATATAATCGACGGCTCTTTGCAAGCGCGTTTACTTGTTTTTGGTAGTCCACTGATCTCATCTTCTAGCAAAGACCATACCATTCTGTTGATCATTGCTCTATCATTGCTCGTTACATCTGCTTGTACATCGATACTCATAGCACAGCTATCGCATACCCGGCCCTCCTGTCTTCTGTCCAACGCCGAGAAATGCCAATGAGAAATTCTACACTTTACGTAATCATTCAAAGCTATGTGACTATTCCTAGAACACTCTTGAATATTAATCATCCAAAACTACATGCGTATTCCTAGAACATTCTGGAATAGCCATGGAGCGACCCTGAATAAACCGGGGTCCTCCATTTCTGCAAATTTATCTGCTTCGGAGTCGTTCTCGTTACCACGGATCCATTTTTCAAATTCTTCTACCGTCCTCACAGAAGAGAGATGCTGGAATGCATCACGAAGCTCTTGTCTCATGTTTGTATCATTCCAAACTAGAAGAGCCATAGAAATAATCTTCTTGATAGGACAGTTGTTCTGACCAAAGGTTTTCGCTGGGTGTACAATAGACCCTAAACAGAAGCGGACACCACAACAGCGACATGCCCCTACAATACCCCGAAACATCGTACATTGTTTCACGCCATGTCCTTCCTGGCCGCATTGTAAACAACGACGGTTGTAGCATGCCCAATACCTTTCATCGGCATTGGGTTTGTGTTCCACGAGAGACGATTTCTTCACACTACATACAGGACAAAAGAACTTGGTCAGGCGAGGAGAATACCCAGTGCATATGTCTTTTGCACTGGTCGAGGTCTCAGAGGCGCAACTGCTCCACGTCTTCATTCGCGAGTCCTTACCAGGGCGTCGAGGAGGCGTAACCGTGTCCGATGGAGTAGGGCGTTGAGAAGGCGTAACCGTGTCCGATGGAGTATGCGCAACTTTCGATGGTGTTTGCAGAGATTCTGTCCTCTTTGGAGCGTTCACGCGCTTCCTTGTAGGTTGAATCTGAACTTCTTTCCTGCAGGTGTCCTCGTTTTGGAATTCGGAAGCACGTCTACGTAAACGTATTCCACTTCCTTCGGAAGAACAAATATCACAAGGCTCCATCCCACGTTCTTGACAAGGTCGGTGATCAGAACACCCGTCCATGAACAGGTCCACCAGCCACCGACGACACTCACCAGCTGCTTCTGTAAGCCCATGTACAGGACCGAAACCGGACAATTGCGGTTCAACTGAATGATTGAACTGATCGATAATATTAAGCACAGTACTTTTGGCAGGTTGGCCGTCACGACCGGCACGTCCGCTTTCTTGCACGTACTCAGTGAGCGTGCTTGGAAGACCAGCATGTACGACAATCCGAACAGTGGAGATGTCAATGCCGCATCCAAATGCTTTCGTTGCAACCATGACGTGCGGAAGTCCATCAGATTCATCTTCCCAGCCGGATTGCATTGCATTTCTTTCATCCTTTTCCATACCTGCATGATATTTGAAGCAAGGCATGTCCGGGTTCAGGGTTTGTAACATCATACAGAGCGAGTCACATTCATCTTTTGTTTGCACGTAAGTTATGGCTCTGGAGGGAGATGTACCGGAAACGTTACGCAAATAGTCAAGCATTTCGTCCACCTTACAATTGAGATTTTGCCTCTTCACGTTGTAAACTTCATACCTGATGTTCCGTCTCGACGTTTTCTGACGCACAGTGATGAAGTCTGACAATCCACATGCGGAAGTAATTTGTTGTTCAATGGACGGTGGGGCTGTTGCCGTTAGAGCGATAACTGGCACATTGACGAGTTCTGGACGAATGAAACCGCGCAAGTACTTCATGGCTTCTCTGAAACTGTGCCATAATAAAACCAGATGGCACTCGGTCACGAATATTGCATGCAGCTTATTCATGACCTTTAGTTCCCTAAGGAAACATTGATAGTCTGGTGAAAACAGATGCTCGGCGCTGGCGACAACAATACGTGCCCCGGCTATATCTCGCGCATTCCACTGACAGGCTTAGATACCTGCATCTTCGCAGCGTTTGATAAGGTCAAGCTGCAGAGCCACAAGTGGAACGACTACAACCATCACCTTTGTCTTGTGAATGAAAGCGGGAAGCATGAAAGTCAACGACTTCCCGGCACCAGTTGGCAGGACGACCAAGGCGTCGCTTTTTGGTGCTACACCATGCACGACTGCCTTTTCTTGTTCCTGGGACTTGAAATGCGCGTCACTTTTATGGAGAAAAATCTGCAATTGCTTCAGCGGCGAAGGAGGTTGACAGATTCTCTTCTCGGGCAGAACGGCGTATCCCTCGGTACCAACCCATTCATTTAGTCGCCTTTTCCCAAGTAAAGAGTCGGAGATATGGAGAATAGCGCTGTGCAGGACCTCAACGCGAGTTTGGAGAGTCATTTCAAGACGCGAAATGTGACTTGTGACATCTATCGGATGGGTCCCTGCTGATGCATTAGTATCCAGTGCACTAGCAGTCATTTGCGGCTGCTCGTAGGCGTTCTCGTAAGAACACGGCTCCCCGTCAAACAGCCCAAGTACTTCATGCCACGTTTTGGAGGCCTGACGGAATCGCTCAAGCTGGCTAGCCGTCAATTTCTTCATATCAAGGGGGGATACACCGTATATCTGGTGAGCGGTATTCTCTGAATGTCCTGCCTGGGTGTGAAGCATTCCCGTGCAGTTTGTTTCGAGCTCCTCGCTATGCGCGAGGAAGTTTTTCACCACTCCACTGTGGTACTGCCGGTATTGACTGGTTCCAATTGGGATTCCCGCACTTTTCGTTACCTTTTCGAAGCAGTAGCGCAATCGAGAAATTCCGAAAGGCTCTCCACTGCTGCCGAACAGGTGGTCACGATGCCTCTCGCCTAGTGATATGGCACTGTCCACATGAACGTGGTCAATTTTCTGACAGATGAACCTTCTGGGACCTCATTGGGTTTCGCGAGGAGGTCGACGAGGGCATATTCGACAGGGCGAATAGCTGTTAAGTAGATGAGCAAGATACCCGCAGTAACAGCATCAGGATATCGCGCAATGGGACGGCCGACACCATCGTGCACATTGCGACCCTTGTGATACGTAATGACAGTAAACACGAGTCCTGCTTGAGTGAAGATGTTCCGCTGTCCTACTGCCGTATTGCAAACCAGCAAAATCCCCAACTCGGATGCCCTTGCCGGTGCTCCTGAGCATACCTGCAAGAGCGTATATATATGTTCTTGTAGACTTTCGCAATCTTGTAGATATGCTCTGGCTTTGTCTTCGTTCAGGGACGTGTCCGATTCCAGTAGTAAGGACTTCAGTTTGCCTTGTAAGGCCTGAGACCAATGAAAAAGATGATGTTGGTTTGCCTTGTGCATTCCAAACCAGTAGCCAGGAGTTTGATCTGTCATTGTGTCGTCCAGGTTTTGAACGGACGACCAGAATGCATCTGTAATCCTGAGTCCATTGAGCAATTTTTCTTGCATCAATCCCAATGAAATTTTCTGCAATTGCTTCATTTTCAATCCAAGTTGCGATAAAGAAAGCTCGATTCCATCAATAATTGCGCATCTCGAATGCGTCGGACAGATTAGAAAGCGAATATTATGTACTTCCCCAACCTTGATGCGATTACAGACTTTCATGCAGTACTGCACATATTGAAGGCCATTATCCACATGCGGGTGATTCAGTTTCAAGACTCGCTCCCAAGACTCGGTAGTATCGCTAGAGCTGTAGAGATATATTTCCATCACGACTAGGCAGCGGGCAAAGTGCTTCACGGCTGCGAGAATGGGAGTCAATTCGCTGGCCTTCGCAATTCGGTACTCGTTTGAGCGATCGAGAATGACACTGTAGCATGAGATGAACAAGGCGATTAGTTCGTTGCTTTCGTTGTGACGAAAAAGGAGGTTCTGTAGGATATCATGGAAGTTTCGCAACCTGGATGCCATTGGTGCATTGGAATCTGCTCGCAGAGATTCTGCACTCCGAATAGCATCGGGAGGTATATATTGACACAACTGCCTGCTGGAAGACATCAAGTTGAAGACGAATTACAGTACTTGGACCATTCTGTTGTCACAGTGCTCCACAGTTTTCCGACTAACAGCAATGTTGAGGTCCGACTCCATAAACGTGTGTGACTTGATCCAAACCTTCTGTTCGGTTATGTCGAAGGCCTGCTTGTGGTACGTTGTGACCACCTCGCGTGAAAGTGTGCGTATACGGCTGTCAGTACTCTTGCACAGGGAGCTGGCTTCAGAAAGTTTAAGCCCACAACGCTTTAAGTGAGTGTCGAAGCGAAAAACTGAAAGTAATGCGCTCATCTCTGAAATCCCGGCCTCGTTGATGGCAGTACTCGCCGAAGTGGCTCCCTGCAGTTTCCTCATGGATTCTGTGAGGACATCGGAAAAGAGGTCACCGCCGTTTTCTACGACTTGATAGTATCTGCACTTGTTTCCGCCAAAGATGGCCTGTCCCTTCACCTCATCGAGCTGACGAGATAAATGTCCCTTGCACGCTTTACTCGCAGCACAACTTCGACGAACGGAAGCGCATTTCGGTGCCAGATATCCGCAGTCGGGGCACTTGTGACACAGTGCCGTGGAAACCCCTTCCAGAGGCGAAAGGGCAGGTCTGGAACGATATTCAACCACAGTCGTTGCCAAGTATTTGTGTCTCATCTCAGCAGCCGATGCATTAACTAACAATGGGAGACAGGCTTCGGGCGTCTCGAATCTCGCCAGCAATTTGAATGCTGTTTGCATGCGAAATTAAATGGTTTCTCTTCATATGCTTCACTACACCATCAAATTCGACTGCGTGTTTGCACCGTACGCAAAATGGGAGATCGAGTTGCTCATTGTATACAACTGTAGGGCCATTCATGATGCGCAACGGACGAGAGACAGAACTTTGTAGAGAGGAAGAAGTGGGAAGAAGAAATGAGAGGGGTCAGTGACTACGAGAACCTTGTATTTAAGGCAGGAAGAATGGCGGAGGGTGAAGTTTACATAGTTATCGCAATAGTCGAGCATGGAACTATCTCTCCTGCTGTCGATGCATAACCTGCAAAAATACTACCGTTACAGTTAGAGAATGATCAAAACGTATGGAATGCAATGCTACATGTTTCTGCCGTTACATATCTCTAATAACAAATTGCTGGTCTCCTTGCTGGTCTAGGAAACTTTCTGTAACGCCCTTTAGGATGCCCTGCGCTGGCCAGGCTAGGGACGGATCCAAATGCCTAACGCTGAATGCTTTGGTGGTGCTGCTGCAAGGTTGATCCTGGGCTAAATTAGTGTGGAAGCCTGCCACAGAGGTGAGTGGACAGCCACCTGTAAGAAGGGTCACGCCCATGTCACATCGGAACAATATCATGCAGTGCTGTTCACTGTACCGTACTGTACTGTACTTTTCGGCAGGATACGACCGTCACACAGAGGTGTCTTCCTTTCCCAACTTCCTATAATGTAACAATATTCCACGGCTCTCATGACTTGTGTACGTGTGACGGTCACAGTCACGGTGAATCATTATCTCGTCCCAGAGCTCCGTGTATAAATATAATATTTTTTATATTCTCCTCGACATGTAGGCCTATTTGAGGTTCTCTACCTGTTTCATTGACATTCGCTCGCCTATGGGTCTCGTGATTTGTCACAGATCTCAAACGTATTTCGGTGAACAGTCTCCCTTTTGACATAAGATGCGGTGACAATTTAATCTTGCGACATTCGGGAAATGGTGGCACACATGACATCCTTCATATCATTTGGTAGAATACGAAGAGAGATTAAGGACTTTCATTGTTATGACATCAAGAATATAAGAAAAAGTGGTGGATATGTCAAATCGTATTGGCAGGAGGTCCGCATATTTCATGCAATGGCAATGAGTCAACATAATCCTCAACATGAAAGCGAATCACTGTACACAATTTACATTATATTCTTTTTCGGTCTTCAGCACACCATAATTTCTGGGATAGCAGTACACATCACAATTTTAATGGAACTCGGTGTCACACATCCCGGATTTTCATTGTAAACAGTGCATTTCAACTCCCAGTTTTTTCGAAACGATACACATAGCGAAATTAATTGGCGGCTGCGGTCCATTCTCGGACTTCATCGGTAATCGGTACACCAAACTTGGCGGTGACAATACGAAGAGGCGAATGTTTCGGCATTTTGTTGCGAAATGTATGTAAGAATATTCCCGTCGTCGTCGGACATTCACCACCGCCGTCGATACCCATCCTTACGAGTGTGTCGCTCCCGACAGCGCCCTACCTTGGCCATTTGCTTCTGCAGTATACATCATTTGCCATTTCATGTCAGGTATGTTCTCCCTCCGCCATTATACGTTATAAAACCACCGTTTTCCATTGCGAAGCATTGCCGCCTGCATTGCCATTACTTTTTGAGAACCAGCACCGTTTTTCCATACTTTTATATGTCCACTTTTAACCACTTACCGCACGCTCAGTGCGGCTTACATACAGTACATCATACCCAAAGCCACCCCCCACCGATCCATATCCCTTCAACGCTAAATAGCAAAACGCTAAAAAGCAAAACTCCCATTATACTCAATAAACTCTCAATAGGAAGATAACTCAATGCGCAACAGGCAAACTAGTCCCTCCCTCTCTCCTCTCTCCTCTCTCCTCTCCGTGACAAGGAAGATGCGGTCACAAAATTTATTGTGAATGGAGTCCAACAGTCCCCTACTCTATGAAGATATCTCTAATGTAGTCGGCGAACAGTTCCTCTCCAGGATTGATAAGCCTCAATGCCTTGACGCGCATCAGCGTGTGTTTCTGCAACGCAGACGTCGAGGTCACTTTTGACACCGACAGATCATATGCAACGTTGACGTTTCTCGGATTGGCGAGACGACCGTCAACAAAATCTTTGTGATCCTTATCATCTGGGTGATAGCGGTGGTCGTTGATGAAAGCCCCGATGCAAAATCTGGAAGGGACGATTGAAATGGCCTTTTGTCCATCGATAAGGTCCGTCACATTCTGAAAAACTCGTCCCTGCGTTGGCACCAGCATGGCATAGGTCATGAAGCGTTCGCGGTCCACTCCCATAAGCCCTTCTCCGTATGGCTTGTTCTTCGATTTAGACCGAATAAGGTCATGATAGACCAACGTGCCGTAGTAGAGGCAGATGTCGTCGTCAACGTCGAATGTTCTTGTAGCAAAAAGCCCGAGTCCCGCCTTCGGATGCCGAACAGAAGAGGGCGCCAACGCTACGCTGAATTGAACTGCCTCTATCGCTCGGAGGGCGTGGACGTCTGTCTGATGAAAACGACCTTGCAGTTCGCGTTTCCATGCCTCTATCGCTCGGAGGGCGTGGACGTCTGTCTGATGAAAACGACCTTGTAGTTCGCCTTTCCAAGCGTTGAGCGGAACATTGCGACATTTCTGAATCAACTCAGGGCTTTCCCAGGCCGTTGAAAGATAGATTAGAATGTGATCTGAAAAAGTCTGGTAGGGAGGTAGGCCCCACGGAGGTGCCCACTTCCCATTCTTGCTTCTTCTATTTCCATTCCTGTTGTGCACATACAGAGCTGCACCATGGATGTCGTCGTCCGTCATGACCTGACGTACGTCCACCAGCTTGTTCACAATAGCCCCCGCGTAGCTCTCAATGACTTTCTTCTTGGCGTGCTCGAAGCACACAGCTTCTTTTTTGCAACCAATAAATCTCCTTGCTCCATTATCCTTGTCCAGATTGAAACATGCGATAGCCGTTGAAAATGTTCCGGCAAACGGGTCCACAACAATGTCTCCTGCCTGGGAGAAACGACAGATGAGCTCTTTCAAAAGGGACACGCATTTCTGCTCTGGCCTTAGCATGCGAGAGGTATCTCCGACCTTGACCATGTGCCGTTCTCCCGGAACGAGGCCCATGACATTGTTAATGACATTGCGAGTCGCAGGGTACTCGGAAGGAACGTAGTTGAAACACTTGTAGTTCACCATGAGCCTCCCTTCCTTGAACTGTGGACCCTTCTTCATCACATGAATGACCACTTCCGCCATGTTGGACAGCGCAAACGTCGCGCGTCCAGGGAACCCATTGCATACAGATGGATGGTATATGCAGTACAGCGGAGTGGACGCAACCCAAAATGTGGGCTGGCTTGCTTGAGACGATGATGATGAGTCTCTAGACGTCGTAGGATGGGCGGTGAATGCTTCTCTCCATATAGTGAATTGCTGAGCGGAGCAGAATATCAGCGCATGCCCTCCTGGACGAAGCATCTTGTCGACGCAGTTAACGAAAGACTCATACTGTTCTTTCCGGATTTCATCGTAATCAGCATGGCTGCGGCCCCTGTCCCTTCGGACATTGAAGGGGGGGTCCGTCAGAACAAGCTGAACTTTTCCATGCAGCTCTTCGTCTTCGGTCAGGGCATCGTACGCTTCAATGAAAGATTCAAAGTCGCAGTTGTACATCCTCACGGCTGCTTTCCTCATCTCAGAGAAAACGATCCGCTCGTTGTGCACGTCCTCTCCCTCATTCAAAGCTTCCAGAGAGGCTTCATCCGACGCAGTTGAAGTGGATTCAGCCTCCCCCACCACTTGAAGAACGTGCCGTGCACATACGACCTGACTAGAAGCAGAAGCCAGATTCGTCGTTGCACCTGGCGAAGGAGGAGGAAAAGGATCACCGGGAAGAGCCGCTGAGGAAGCGATTTCACTCGTATAGGTTTTGACCTGTCTCACCAATGCCGCACAGTAGGATCGGAATCTCGGGGGCAGGATGCCCCTGCGTCGAACGTACTTGGTCAGAAAGAACATTTCCTTGACTTCTTTAGCAGAGTAGAGATCACTTGACAATAACGCGCGTTCCAAATCTTGAAAAAAGTCTCCCAAAAACTTGCAAAGGTTGCTGTCAACGATTGCAGGCCGATCGAAGGCATCGGTAAAGGTCTTCGTTCGATCGTTTGTTGCCGGCATGTCTTCAACAAACTTGACCAGCGTAGACAGTGGTGCAAACCCTTCTTCTCGGGTTGGAATCACTTCAAACTGCGCCAAGGGAGATACCAATCTCAAGTAGGGTGCACTCATCCTTTCCAAGCTTTGAAATCCGAGGTACTCTGCAAAGCAATTCCAAGCACCGACAACAGTCTCGATGATGTAGCCAATCTTCTGCGGAAGTGGGTCACGCAAATCGGTTAGACCTTGTACAGAGAGAACTTTGACAGCCTCATCCGGCGTTGCGTCCAGACGTCGTCGTTTACTCGGCCTGCTGTTATTGACAATTGCCATGAGCTTGACCACGGCTGAGACGTGTAGCAGCTGTTGAAAGGGGGTTGCTTCAGTAGTCGGGAAAGGACTTGACTTGCGACGAGTCTTGCTCTCTCCGATGAACGTGAATGAAGAGCAGATCAACGCCATAAATCTCATAGGAAGGTGTGAAGTCAGGACATGCTCGATAAGAGCACGAACACGTCCATCCGTTCCTCTTGTCGCAAACGTGCTCTTAAACACGCGAAACGATCTCGCATTAGATCGCGAATCCAGCATGTCCGTACATGACTCTTTCGTATGAGTATAGAGCAGGACGTTTCCAAACAAAGACTGAAGCAGTACTTGAATGGGCCGTGGGGTCGTCTGTGCGGAGAAATGTGAAGACAACACCCATGCCATGTAGTCTTTCCATGATATTTCCTTGCCGGGATGTTCATGTCTCCAAAGGTCGAGGACTTGATACGAGTGCAGGACGAATCTTGACGTCTTTCCTAATTCCTTAAACGTGTAGTCTCCGTCTGCTGCCATATTTTGGATTCTGGAGATGGCGGCGCTCGTAGTGCAGGACTTTTCGTGCAGCGAGCGAAGAAAGGAACGGAATTGCAAAAGATAAAAGTTCGGAAAGGCTGTCGCCAAAATACCCCTGGCGGTCGGATATTACTCGGCGCCGGTCGTTTGTGGTGGTTGACAAGGAGAGGGGGTGTATGATGAGGGAAACGGAAAAGGGATGCACGATGCTCAGATTTGGAACAAGGAAAGAGGATATAGTCGTACGAAGGTGTGTGTTTGTTTGCGTTTCAGCGTGTGTGTGTGTGTGTTTGTGTTTGAGCGTGTGTATGTGTGTGTATGTGTGTTTGAGCGTGTGTGTGTGTGTGTGTGTGTGTCTATGTGTGTGTGTGTGTGTGTCTGTGTGTGTGTGTTAGGGGATATTTCCTTTTATAATATAGAGATTGGGATTTAGGAGTAGGATGGTTTTTGTACTTTAGGGATTCGGTGGGATTCGGAGATTTAGAGGAGTAGGGGATTCGGTGGGATTCGGGGATTTAGAGGAGTAGGGGATTCGGTGGGATTAGGAGATTCGTGGGATTAGGAGATTAGGTGGGATTAGGGGATTCGTGGGATTAGGAGATTCGGTGGGATTAAGAGATTAGGTGGGATTAGGAGATTCGGTGGGATTAAGAGATTCGGTGGGATTAGGAGATTCGGTGGGATTAGGGGATTCGTGGGATTAGGAGATTAGGTGGGATTAAGAGATTCGGTGGGATTAGGGAATTAGGTGGGATTAGGAGATTCGTGAGATAAGGGGATTCGTGGGATTAGCATGATTAACGGGATTAGGAGGATTCGTGGGATTAGCATGATTAACGGGATTAGGAGGATTCGTGGGATTAGCATGATTAACGGGATTAGGAGGATTCGTGGGATTAGCATGATTAACGGGATTAGGAGGATTCGTGGGATTAGCATGATTAACGGGATTAGGAAGATTCGGGGGAGTAGGAGGAGTCAGGGGATTCAGGGATTAAGGGGATTTGGGTAATTAAGGGATTGGGAAGATTCGGGGGAGTAGGAGGAGTCAGGGGATTTAGGGATTAAGGAGATTAGGGTAATTAAGGGATTAGGGTAATTAAGGGATTAGCAATTATTTGGGATTAGCTATTTATGGGATTAGGTATTTTTGAATTTGTTTACGTATGACAAATGTTTTGTGCTGCTGTGCAATACGGCGCTGAGATTTGTGTATTTATGGGGAGCAAAGTTTGGCCATCGGCTGAATTCGCTCCCCATCACCACACGCCACCTCCGCACCCCACCCCGCCTCACATCCGCCGCCGTTCCGTCGTGCTCAACTTTCGGTGCGGACTGCTATAGCAGCCGCGGCGCTGTTTCCGCCGCCGGTTTTTGCCGCCGCTGCCGCTTTTGCCGCTGGACGCCCTTGTCACTGTGTCGCTTTCGCTGTGTTGCTTTTGCTGTGTCGCTTTTGCAGCCGCCGCGCCGCTTCCGCCGCTGGTTTTTGCCGCCGCTGCCGCTTTTGCCGCTGGACGCCCTTGTCACTGTGTCGCTTTCGCTGTGTTGCTTTTGCTGTGTCGCTTTTGCAGCCGCCGCGCCGCTTCCGCCGCTGGTTTTTGCCGCCGCTGCCGCTTTTGCCGCTGGACGCCCTTGTCACTGTGTCGCTTTCGCTGTGTCGCTTTCGCTGTTCCTGGGGCGAGGGGGGACTAAGGGGGATACGCGAGACGGTTTGTTGGTAACAGGCATGAGTTGAGTAACGTAATGGTGAAGCTAGCTTTGCCTACGACGCGACGCGACGGCGCTAATAAAAAGAACCTGTCTCTTTGAAGTTAACCAACGTTAGCAAATGTACTTATCGCCGCCCGTAACATTTCAATGTGGTTTTACTTGCTCCTTCGTAAGTAAAGTCATCTCTGTCCCGTCCTCTCTCTGTTTCTCTACTCTCTAGAAGAACCTGTCTCTTTGAAGTCGAATAAACGATAACAAACGTTAGCAAAATGTACTTATCGCCGCCCGTAACATTTGAATGTGGTTTTACTTGCTCCTTCGTAAAGTCATCTCTGTCCCGTCCTCTCTCTCTGTCTCTCTAAAAGAACCTGTCTCTTTGGAGTCGAACAAACGTTGACAAACGTTAGCAAATGTACTTATCGCCCCCTGTAACAGCTTTTACTTGCTCCTTCGTAAAGTCATCTCTGTCTCTCTCTCTCTCTCTCTACCCCTCTATCTCTCTAAAAGAACCTGTCTCTTTGAAGTCGGACAAACGTTAACAAACGTTAGCAAATGTACTTATCGCGCCGCCCGTAACATTTCAATGTGGTTTTACTTGCTCCTTCGTAAAGTCATCTCTGTCCCGTCCTCTCTCTGTTTCTCTACTCTCTAGAAGAACCTGTCTCTTTGAAGTCGAATAAACGATAACAAACGTTAGCAAATGTACTTATCGCCGGCCGCCCGTAACATTTCAATGTGTTTTTACTTGCTCCTTCGTAAAGTCATCTCTGTCTGGTCCTCTCTCTCTCTCTTTCTCTACCTCTATCACCCTCGGCCGCATTTTTTTATTCTTTGCATCGCCTTTGCATCGCCATCGCATCGCTCTGCTGCATCGCTCTGCTGCATCACTATCATTACACTATCATTAATTAATTAATATGGAACTGAGGGCCATTCCATTCATCGTGATTGGCAATCATGCAATCATGCAATCACGATCACGACATTACTTTAACGTCTTTCTGCAAGTTGGAGCACAAGATTAATTTTAAGTCGATTGTTTATTTCTTTAACAGCCACCATTTATTGACGTGATTGCGTGATTGCGTGATTGCCAATCACGATGAATGGAATGGCCCTGAAAAGGCTAACTCTGTTGCATACGAGCAATGAAGATATGGATAAAAACGCAACCACACCATGTAGATATTTGGGATTGGGATTAGCAGGAGAATGGGATTAGCGGCGGCTGGGATTCGGAGAGGGATGGGATTAGCGGTAGTTGAGATTAAGGGATTCGAGGGTAGTTGGGATTAAGGGATTCGGGGGTAGTTGGGATTAGGAGATTCGTGGGAGTAGGGGAGTAAGGGATTCGGGGGTAGTTGGGATTAAGAGATTCGCAGTTATTGGGATTAAGGGATTCGGGGGTGGTTGGGATTAAGAGGTTCGCAGTTATTAGGATTAAGGGATTCAGGGAGTAAGGGATTCGTGGGAGTAGGGGAGTAAGGGATTCGGGTGTAGTTGGGAGTAGGGGATTCAGGGAGTAAGGGATTAAGAGATTCGGGGGATTCGGGGGTAGTTAGGATTAGGGTATTGGCGGGATTAGGGGAGTAAGGGATTCGTGGGAGTAGGGGAGTAAGGGATTCGGGGGTAGTTGGGATTAAGAGATTCGCAGTTATTGGGATTAAGGGATTCGGGGGTGGTTGGGATTAAGAGGTTCGCAGTTATTAGGATTAAGGGATTCAGGGAGTAAGGGATTCGTGGGAGTAGGGGAGTAAGGGATTCGGGGGTAGTTGGGATTAAGACATTCGCAGTGATTGGGATTAAGGGATTCAGGGAGTAAGGGATTCGTGGGAGTAGGGGAGTAAGGGATTCGGGGTTAGTTGGGAGTAGGGGATTCAGGTAGTAAGGGATTAGTGGGATTCGGGGCATTCGGGGGTAGTTGGGATTAGGGGATTCGTGGGATTAGTGGAGTAAGGGTTTCGAGGGTAGTTGGGATTAAGGGATTCGGGGGTAGTGGGGATATTTCCTTTTATAATATAGAGATTGGGATTTAGGAGTAGGGTGATTTTTGTACTTTAGGGATTCGGTGGGATTCGGAGATTTAGAGGAGTAGGGGATTCGGTGGGATTAAGGGATTTAGAGGAGTAGGGGATTCGGTGGGATTACGAGATTCCTGGGATTAGGAGATTCGGTGGGATTAAGGGATTAGGTGGGATTAGGAGATTAGGTGGGATTAAGAGATTAGGTGGGATTAGGAGATTAGGTGGGATTAAGAGATTAGGTGGGATTAGGAGATTCGGTGGGATTAGGGGATTCGTGGGATTAGGAGATTTGGTGGGATTAAGAGATTAGGTGGGATTAGGAGATTCGTGAGATTAGGGGATTCGTGGGATTAGCATGATTAACGGGATTAGGAGGATTCGTGGGATTAGCATGATTAACGGGATTAGGAGGATTCGTGGGATTAGCATGATTAACGGGATTAGGAGGATTCGGGGGATTAGCATGATTAACGGGATTAGGAGGATTCGTGGGATTAGCATGATTAACGGGATTAGGAAGATTCGGGGGAGTAGGAGGAGTCAGGGGATTCAGGGATTAAGGGGGTTAGGAAGGTAGGTGAGTTAGGAGGGTATTGTGGGTTAGGAGGGTATTGTGGGTTAGGTGGATTAGAAGGATTATGTGGGTGATGTGGATTAGGTGGATTAGGTGGATTAGGTGGTTTAGGTTGATTACGGGGTTTAGGTGGTTTAGGTGGTTTAGGTGGTTTAGGTGGTTTAGGTTGATTACGGGGTTTAGGTGGTGTAGGTGGAATACCGGGTTTAGGTGGCGGAATGGTTTACGAGGTTGACCGGTTTAGCGATGTACGAAGTTTAACGGTTTATGTGATTTAGCATGCGTACGAGGTTTAGGAAGGTTAGCAGGTTTAGGTTGAGATTGGGTTTATGTGGTTTTGCAGGTGTAGCAGGTTTAGGTGGTTTAGCAGGTTTAGGTTGCGATTGGGTTGAGGTGGTTTAGGGGTTTAGGTTGAGATTGGGTTTTTCAGGTTTAGCAAGTGTAGCACGTTTAAGTGGATTAGCTGGTTTAGGTTGACAGTGGGTTTAGGTGGTTTAGGTGGTTTATGTGGTTTAAGTGGTTTAGGTTGAGATTGGGTTTAAGTGGTTTAGGTGGATTAGGTTGGCCAATCGTCTATATTAAATACCCACCGAGAGATGTAAATTTTCAGATCCAACCAAAACAGCATTTTTTCGGTCCCAGTGTCCCAGTTGTCCGAGTCAGTCTCTGAGTGTCAGCATGTCCGAGTTCGA